ACTTACTTAGCAAAAACACGATGACGCTCACAAATAACGAGAGCGGATGTTGATAAGAACACACTATATATGCCGCGAAGGCTATATACAAAAAAAATATTATAATTTTATTTATAATAAGCTTAAAAAAGAATTCTTTAACGCGCTCGACGAACAAGATCACATATAACTTAATTATCTGAATACTTTACATTATTAGTTTAAATTATTATTTTAAATTATTATTTTAAATTATTCCCTACTATCAAAGAATTTTTATAGCGAACAAAATTCAAATATTATCAATATAAATATCAATTATTTAATTAAAATATTCGTCTTATTTATAAGCGAGTCTTACATTAGGTTTAGGCGTTTTAAGGCTTCGGTTTGTTTGGATATTGTATGTGTGTTGATGTATATGTAAGAATAAAAAAAAAAAAGAAAAATGTATTTAAAAAATGTGCATAAATGTCACATATTGTCGTCAATCTAATTATTTTAACATAGTTATATTTTTGAAAATGTGTTTGACATTGCCGTGTTCTTGGAATGCACGATGACGAATATCGATCAAATGCGGAATCTAGTTTGATCTGAATCTCGTTCTGGACAAGAATACATTAATTTATATATCGATGCTTGATATGCACTATGATGCGGAATGCAATCCCAATCAATATAAATTCGATCCGGGACGATTCAATAAAAAGAACAAACATAATACCATCATGCGTTTACTTCCCATTCAGGGAAAACTCGAGCGCATTCGTAAATAAGAGAATCAATTTAATTATGAAAAATTAAAGGTCGACGTATTTCCAAACACATATCAAGTCAGAATGAATCATTAAGTATCGATTTTTTGTATTTTTTAACAGTCTAAATTTATAGGAATTATAAATATCACTGAAATTATTTTAAAATTATTTATATTTCAGAAGCGGAAATTGTATGGTTTGTAATATACTTCAATAACAATATATTTTAAAAATGTTTCTTTTTCCGAAATGCTCTTTTTCTCCATATTATTTTAGAAAATTGTAAAATTTTTCTAAGAACAAAATATTAAACAAAATTAAAATGCTTTTTAGACCAAATTTACAACTATATATGATGATATTATTCTTTGAAAAAGTATTTCGTAATTCTCTACAAAAATTTGTACAATACTTAATCTTGACATATGTTAAAGAGGATTTTAAAATTCAATAATTTTTAAACTACGTTTATAGTATATAGGAAAACATAGTATATAGGTAAGGTAGAAATGATATATATCAACAAAAAATATGACATATCTTTGATATATGACTTTAACATATGACTGTGACATATGACTTTGGCATATATTTAGAAGATGATAATGTTTTAAAGAATTTTGAAAAAAATTTGATTTACACTATCCTTTATTATTCATTAAAAAATTAATAAAGAATGTTGCGCTTATGCAAACAAGCGTGATAGTTTAATTCAATACAAAGTTTGTTTCAATACAAATTTGCATTAATTGCATGTTTACACATTAAAGTCGATGCATGGGCGTACATAAAAAGAGCTTCATTTTTTTCTGCACTTCAAACCCGAGTAAAACAAGAGCTTTGCCTTTTTGTTTTGCCCATGCAATCATCATCAATGACGATTTACGATTCTCGGCTTAGTTTTGTATATATGTATAGTTATATTTTCAATTTAAAATATCACAAAAACTATAAAAGAGCACCATCTAATTTCAGACGTAAATTAGTCAGAAATATACCATCTACAACGTACCTATATGTTGTCAAGATTAAGATGATCTGTGCAACTTTTTGTAAAAAATTACCAAGTATTTTTGCAAAATAAAGTACAAATCTTTTATATCCAATCAGTGTATCTCATCCGTTCATTATTATATATGTATGTATGCACGTATATTGTAGGTATATCGTCTTTTATATCGGCGTTTAAATAAAAAGATTTTTAAGCCGCGCGATATCAAAGACACGTCTACACTTCTCTTTAGTAATTTCTCTTAATATAAGATAAAATAGTTAAAACATATTTAGTATATCTGATCACAAATGATTCACACGGATATATTGGATGATTGCATAAGTTCGTGCCCGATTTTCATAGATGGCATTAAGTTACTGCATGGCGGAGTTCTATTGTTTTCGTGTGGTAATTGTTGCTTACACCGAATAGATGACGTTGTCTTATGTCAATTTAGCGTCAGACATTGTTCAGATAAGTCCATTTGTGCATAAGAGAAATCATTAAAAATGGAGAACGAAAAGGTGCATT